TCTCCCCTTTAGCCGGGGGTGATGAGCCCCCCCCCCCCCCGCCATCCAGCTGCATGGCTTGGCTGATAGATGCAAGCAGGACACAGGGCTATGGAAGAGAGGCCTTGCTGCCTCAGCTCTGTGACAACCTGGGGGTGGGGTGCGGTGGGGTCGGCCCCACACTTGCCCAGAGTAGATGAATGCAGGCGAAGGCTAGCCTGCCCACCCTGCAAGTGGGAGTTAAAGGGAAAGCCACAAAGACACCTGGGGTGCTGGGGGTCTGCAACCTAACTTGAGTTGGGAGGGGATTTGGTACAGAAGTTTGATAGATCAAACTAACCTAAACCAATTAAATCTGATACTACATTCATCCAGGTCTATTTTAGACTAGGTTCTGCCATTTTTAAGCTGGTCTATGCACACTGAACTTCTGTTCTGTTACAGGGTTCAACCAGTTTCTAATCTCTTATACCAGTTTATATGTAATGTTTGTACCTAGCCATAGTCTCTCCCATGTTAGGCATGCTAACTCACCTGAGTAGAGGGCTCCACAAAATTATATAAATATGCCATGTAACCCCCTCTGCTCATATGTTTGCAGGACTAGTACCTCTTTCTGAATTGGCTGTATCTAGTCAATCACTAATTTCCATCCCCTCAAAGATTTTTGAACTGATGTAAAACCAATCTAGTCTCACTCCTACCCATTCCTGTACTTCCACAGGTATGGCCCTCTAGCTGTTCAGAACTGGTAACTGGTCCTTTGGGGACCATTTTCATCTTAAATTAAAGCAAACCTCAACCTACTCTCTTCTGTGTAAGGGCCAGAAGAATAAGGGAGCCAAATCTGATTTCTCGACAACAGCCCACACTGTTCTGCTGTGTTGAGCAGATCTCAACCCCAACAGAAAATCCAGTCCACTCTGTCTGCAGAGACACTATGCATCCTATACACCTACTAGGAAAAGTAAAAAAAAAGTCAAGTTCATAGAGCAAAGTTTTTATTATAGTATTAAATATAAAGGTAATAGAAGAATATAGGGGGGAGTCAGGGGAATAAATAGGACAATACAAATTATGGCTCTGCAAATTCTGTTTATCGTTACTAGGAAGTGGTATTTATGCACCAGATGGACCCAGAGCATTTCATTACAATATGGAAACAGACGATGGTCACCTCCTAGTTGCAGAATTGGATTCACATCCTTGTCTCTCTGCCACCCCCCCTGCTACTGTCAGTTGGAGCTCATATGCCACAAGCATCAAACAATTCTCCTGTGATGAACATGACTTTCAAGGATTCATTTTCTTTGATCTCTTCACCTTCACTGAGCTCACCACACCTGAAGGAAATAGCACAGTTTGCCAAAAAGACCTCTGCTGCCATTTGAGCTACAGAATGGCAGAGAAACGAGAAGATGAGATATACGTGCTAGGTGCTTTTGATGGGCTTCATGTGATTGAAGGAAAATACTATTTGCAGGTAATACTTCTTTCTTGGGGACTGTGGAATATCTTATTAGTTTTAGGAAGCATCCTTAGAGAAAGTTGTTTTTAGTAGCTTGGTAAGAGGCAAAATGGACATTGGTGTTGACTTACATTTTCCTCCCCAACTCTGTTTGGGAGTGGTGAGTTGCTGCTGAAATTTCTGATGAATTGACTTCCCCCTCATGACAAAAAAATAATTTTGAAACAGCCTTGAGTACAAATGCAGAGTTTGTATGAGAGAAGAGTTTGGTCTTTTCTAGACAAAAATTCAGTAGAACCTGGATTTATCATCTAGAAATCATCTTCTTAGTTCATAAGTGTTTGCTGAGTTAGGAATGAGCCACTCAGATCCTTCTCTGATGACCTGGAGTGCTGGTGTACTCCTATGCAGCTGACTGGAGAAATACTGCTCTTTCAAATAAAATCCACAGCAAGCAACTGGAGCATCAACTAGAGCATCATTATCAATTAACTCTTCTATATATTAATAAAAGGGCCTGTGTGTTTGTGTCAGTGCCATAGCTCCAAGACCATGATACCCAGAGACCTGAAACTTTGCATGCATACTAAGGGGACCCTGGGAGCATGCACCTGGGTGCTATTTTTTTATTTGGCTCAAAAACATTTCACCGATTTTTTTTTTTTTAATCTATACTGCATAACCCCCTGTGGCAGGTCAGCCCCAGGAAGCAGAATAAATTTGCATGTGCAAACCATTCTTTAGCAACGCTCAAAGATCCTGGCCAAGGTCAACTGGTACAGCTGGAGAAGTCTCCGCATTTAGGAGTATTCCCCTAAGGGCTGTGGTTGGGACTGGTCAACAGGACCTAGAAGCACCTGCAGGAGGAGTGAGGGCTTAAGGAAGGTGCAGAGAGAAAACCATACTGGGTCTTCTCAGGGACTGATTAGGGGGTTGTGAGAGGCATTCCCTATAAGGCAATCTACAAGAAGCAAAACTTGCCAAAAATTGACTTGCAAAAGCTGCAGCCAGAGCAGCTGAGACTCAAGAGCAGCAAATTGCAAGACAAGAAACAAACAGAGCAGCAATGGCTGCAGCCAGAAACTGGTCCTGGAGGGAAAAAGAAAACTATGCATTCTTCTATAATCCAGCCTTAGGTTATGCTTCTGATCCATTAGTTGCAATTGGCTCAATGGCGACTTCTTGCAGCTAGTGCCTTGCAATGAGATGGAAAGGAGAAGCTCCAGGGATATGCTGCAACAGCGGCAAGGTTCAATTGCCCCAAATGAATGATCATCCCAAGCTCCTTTATACATTGTTGACAGGCAGCACTCCAGATGCATGTAATTTCCAAAGCAATATTAGAAAATACAACTCATGCTTCCAAATGACATCTTTTGGCACCACAAAAGACATCAGAGAACCTGGCTACAAGCCCACATTTAAAGTGCAGGGTCAGGTTTATAATAGGATTGGCAGTCTGATGCAACTCCCAAATGAAGAGCCCAAATTCCTGCGGATCTACTTCATGGGTGACAATACAAAGCAGGCTGAACAGCATTATAACAATGTCATTCAAACCAACCTGCACGTGGTGCTGCAGTTGCAAGACATGCTCCACAGTTAAAACAACTATGTTTACAGTTTCAAGTGTGCCATGGAGAAGATGACTCCAGAGTACAATGTTGTCATTCAAGCAGACAAAACTCCAGCTGGTGAGCATGAGCAGCACTTCAGTGCACCCACAACATCAGAAGTGGCTGTCATTCTGCTTGGTGAACAACATGGCAATTGTGACATTGTGTTGCAACTCAGGAACAACTCCCTCCAGAGAATTGCTGAGACACACCAATCATATGATGCACTTCAGTATCCACTAATTTTCTGGCAGGGTGATGATGGCTACCATTTTGAACTGCAACAAACCCAGCAACGGGGCTGCCAACTCAAAAGAAGATTTCTGCCATGGACTTTTATGCCTACAGGATGATGCTGTGAGCTAGAAGTTTCAATCATATCTTGCAATGCAAAGATCTCTTCCACCAATTTGCTGTGGACACGTATGCCAAAAATGAAGCAGAAAGGTTAAGATTCATTCAAATGAACCAAAAGAAACTCAGAGTTGAAAACTGTGTTTACTTCAGGGATGCCATGAACAATGATGGAGATGCTGCCAACGTTGGCCAATTGGTTATCTTGCCTTCCAGTTTCACAGGTGGGCCTCGCTACATGCATGAGCTTGCTCAGGATGCTATGACATACATGCAAAACTATGGCCACGCTGATCTCTTCATTACCTTCACCTCCAACCCAGCTTGGGCAGAAGTGGCTAATGAACTGATGCTAGGCCAAAAACCACAGGATTGGCATGATTTGCTGGCAAGAGTATTCCAACAAACAGTGAAGGCATTAAAGAATCTCATCAACAAGGGAGATTTTTGGAGCCATTCAGTGCTACATGTACACAATTGAGTGGCAAAAGCTTTGCCTGCCACATACTCACATTCTGCTGTGGCTTCAGGGTGAACTTCATGTCCACAGAGTGGATGACATCAGTGATGAAATTCCAAATCCAGAAATTGATCCACTTTTGTTCAGCTTTGTCAGAACACAGATGGTGCATGGTCCCTGTGGAAGCATCAATCCAAACTCACTGTGCATAAAAGATAATAAATGTACAAGTAGGTTCTCACGTGATCTTCTGACAGAGACACAGACTGGACAAGATGGATACCCACTGTATCATTGGAGAAAACCAGAAGGTGGTGGATTCACAACAACCATCAAAGTTCATAGTTCTGAGGTTCAAGTTGACAGCAGATGGATTTTTCCATACTGTCCACTCCTGTCATGACTCTTCAATACCCACATCAATGCTGAGTACTGCCACTCTGTGAAATTGATCAAATATGTCTGCAAGTATGTCAAAAAAGGATCTGACATGGTTGTGTTTGGCCTCATAAGGGATGAGACTGTGCATGATGAGGTTTGGCAATATGAATTGGGGAGATACATCAGCACCAATGAAGCCATCTGAAGGATCCAATTCGTGAGTGACACCCCACAGTGCTTCATCTCAGAGTCCACCTTGAGAACGGCCAAAGAGTGTACCTCACTGAGGAAAATACACATGATCACACCCGAGTTCCACAAGACACAACTCTCACTGATTTCTTCAATCTCTGCAGAGATGATGAATTTGCTCAGACACTGTTGTATCATCAGTGTACCCACTGGGCCTCGAACATCCGGTCTCATGCGGCCTTGGTCTGGGCAGCCGGTAGAGGCCGTCCTGCGGTCTCCTGTAGGCCCATGGCCTGTTGTCTATCCCCTGAGTGGCTTCCCCCAATCTCTCCTGCCACGACTTTGAATGTTATACCAGTGGGTTCATTTGCAGCGGGGAGACCGCCCGATGGTAGTCTGTGAGGCTCCACCTCCCCTACAACCCAACCTTACGTCAACCTCTGCCAGGTCATCAGATCTTCTGGGCTGTACCACCGATGATGTTGTGTTTTGTGAGCTCGACGATCTCCGTAGCCCTATTAAGCCTTTAACACTTCCTCCTTGGATAACTCAATCACTTAGCTCTTTGGTTTCAGAAGGGCCTTCGCCTGCCCTAAAGCAGTCTCAGACCCAGGACTCTAAATTTAACCAACAATCAAACAAAAAAGGAAAAGAAAGATGGTGCAGAGTTGTCTGCCTGCATCGTCTCGCCCTACCTCTCAATGCTTCCAAAAGAGGGAAAACGAAAGGAACTAAAACAAACTATAAGTTGGGAAGGACCCATCTGGTTTCCTCCTCAGCCCTACTGCTAGCATAACGGGTCACCCCTAGGATCCCATTGGGGGCTGACCCGTCATCTGGCCAGGGTTGACCGCAGCCCCTTGTCCCGAGTCGTTTCTCCCCTCACCCCGCCGAGCGCGGTATGCGGTGCTGCTCTCCTCAGATACTGTTGGAGGCGTTCTGCTTCTGACCTCCTGCAGTACCTTCTCAAGTGGCTGGCCGCCTCCTATACTGTGTGCTGCTGCCCAGCCTCCTGCAGCCTCTTTTGCTGCTCATGGCTGTTACTGCCAGGAGGGAGAGCCTCCTCTGGCTCTCTCGTCCCCCTGACACTCCAACCTTTGCCAGTGCAGAGAGCCTCCTCTGGCTCCTCTGCCTTCTCACCACACTGATTTCCGTTGGCACAGAGAGCCCCTGCCAGCTCTCTCTTCCCTGGAGTATCCCTCATGGCACCTGGCTTGAGAGTCTTCTCCAACTCTCTTCCTCTCCTTAGTGTATTCCGGGCAGCATCTGGTGTCAGAGACTTCCCCTTCTCTGCTCCACTCTTTCTGCCAGCTTCCCTGGTGGTTTTCTTTATTCCCGCTGGCCAGTGATTACCAATGATGTCACCCACCGGTTTCAGCTGGATAAAGGCACGGCTTATGACCCGCGCAGATTTCCTTTCTCCCTCCAGCTGCGTCATGGGTCCTGTTGCTGCCGGTAAGTAATCTCTTTGCATTATTTTTATATCTTTTCCCTTTTTACTGTGTGCTCCCCGCCCCAGGGGGTCGCCGCTTATTGTTTGGGGTTCTTTTCCCCATTCTTCCCCAGGACAATCAGGTACCCAGGTACAACACATGGAATGTTGGCACCAAGACGTGGACCTGTCACAAATCAGGACAAAATATGCCAGACCAGCCAGACTTCAAA